TAAATATAAAAAATTTATTTAAATTTAAATCGTATATTTACACGATTTAAAACGTAATTATTTTAATCCTCCATTAATTAATTTACATTACACGCTTCCATTTATTAATTGGAATTAAAATCGATATTTCGATGATGATTATCGCGTGTTGTATTTTTTGTTCTTTGATTTATTTATTTAAAAAAAAGAGAGAGAGAGAGAGAGAGAATAAAACGCTCGCGGATATTCCGAGTGTCTAAATGAGTTACGTCAGAACCGATCGACCTTCGATTAAAAACACGTAGAATCTAATTTTAAAAAATAGAAACATCGATTTTTTAGTTGAAATATTATCTAAAAATAACGTTTTCGTTCATTTACATAATGTTTCGCGTGTTTTTTTTACTAGAAACAACGTAACTAATATCGGAAAAATGAAAGGGGAAGTGTATAAAAACGATAGAGAAAGTTACTTTCCTCTTCGTTGGGATCTATATACTTTCTTCCCCTTATTACAAATTGGATAATTAGATTGTAAAAAAGAAAAAAAAAAAGATAGAAACTTTTAGAAAAATTATCGTTAATATAATTAAAAAAAATAATAAGAAGAAAAATCAGAGGCAGTTTGTTGAATAAAGAGATAACGGAATCGATAACATTGTTAAATTCTAAACTGATTATTTAATTTAATTGTAACGATGGCGAGTTTCAATAATTACATGATAAATTTTCTGTTTATTCGTTCTTTTCGGAAATAGAAAGTTGACGTAAACGAAGAACAACCCCCCATAGAGTTCATTCAAAATAAGATTGACGTTATGGGAGTAGCCAGGACGAAGACGTAACCTTTATTGTTTAGAGGAAGCATAAAATATGGTCATAAGTTGGTATAACAACGAAAGAAACCGATAGTTAAGTATTATTCCTCCACTAGGACATTATATTGAACGAAGGAAATAGCCATTTAGGATCCAAAACGCAAGAGGGGTTATGGTGTAAACCAACCAGAAAATGTCTTCCATTGTTTTCCATAAGAATTGGTGTGTTTTTGGCAACCACGCGCA